AGACTAACATCTCGAGATGTTGGTATAATTATATTCAGGTTCTACCCTGATCATGATACTACCTGTCACTCGTGGAGTATCGAGGTGTAGTAGTCACTGAGAAAACAAACATGTTGATCCTCATTTCCCTTTATATATACATCAAACCTTTAATAAAGCATCGTGGACGATTCCGGAAGATTTCCGTGTGTCACTGTGCGGTATACGGTATTAAAGTATTGCTGTGTGTGTTACCTTGTGTTCTTACACTATGTTAATATGTTCTGAACAAAAGCTCATTGGTATCTTTTGTGTATATAAACATCTGTGTTATGGAGAGTATATTGATAAGTTGTGATAACTTTGCGTCCGCTTCTTTTGTATCAAGTTCATGTAAAAATAGTTTAAATCGAAAAGCCTCGGTACCACGGTAAGACGAACCTTCGTGTCTACTCCGATGGACTAATTAGCATATGCAGAAAATGTTCAAAGAATTTCCGAAAATATTTTTGAATATACCAAAGTCTTGTTAAATTAAAGCAGACGAATATTGTGATAATGTGATGATAAAATGAATATGATCACGATTGGATATTGTATCATACTTATAACAATGATTTTCTTTACTTATAGTCATTTTTTGTTTTTTTGTTTTTTGTTTTTTTTGTTTTTTGGTTTTTTGTCATTGTTCTCGCACCAAATACATTAACATGGATTCACAATAGCATGTTTCTGATTTCTCGTGACACCAGAGGAGCTGTGCGTTTGTCAGTATGAACTATTCCATCACATGTGTTTTTCGTATAATTTCCTGTGCCGTTTTAGCTTACATACGACAATATCAAAAATCAAAAGCTTACTTTTCAATTTAAAATCACACCAAGCTGACAAAGATTTAGACACGAGGTGTACCCTGTTACTTTAAGGACCTTACCGATCATTGCCATGTTTATCTTTGTATTGTCCTTCGGAGACAGCGAGCTGTAAATGACAGTCTTCGGTACACATCGGCTTTGTAGGTAGTCAACATTGCTACATGACACTTTTGTTAGAGATACTTTGACCAAACACTCGGAAAGCTTCCGCGGTGTCCTATGACGACCGCGATACCAATGTCCGACCTACAGCATACACTGACCACTAATCCGACAGCCTCATTTAAATAATCAAACTCTTAACTCTTGTGTTTAGTTTGACGTTTCCACAAAGAGATCTACTTACCGGTATCCATTTCTAAAGAGAAGTTGGTACTTAGTGCTGTCAGTTGATTCTCTTTGGGATTTTAGTGAAACTTGAGCAGTATATTACCTGATCTATCTATAAATGTTGACCCCTCTTATACTCTCTCGTTTGTCTTTTGTTTGTTATCATTATCCGCTTATGTTTCTGATGTAAAAATTATGCAAATTTCAAGTTGCCGTCTCTATGTTTTGTTTTTGATGCTTTTGTTGTTACTAACGACGGTTTTCGTCATAATGTTTGTATAAATGATGATGACACTGATATCATCTCCCAGGTCACACTCGACAATCAAGATCGTACAATATATAATGAAAAAATGTCATATTTCTGACATTCCAATGGTATTTTGTATCGTAAAAACACGTTATAACACCTCAGTGACGACATAAATGATCACGTGATAGATTACATCGGAAGAAAAACTAAGTAGTTCCGTTTTGCTTGAAATGAGCTTGTCTTTTAGAGAAAAGAATTTTCTCTTATTTGAGGTATATGAGCAATAGAATTTCACACTTGTGTATACTGAACATTTTATTTATTCAACTCGTCCAATAATCAAGTTACCGGCACCCGTTGATGCTGTACTGAAAGAACCGCCTTGGCCATTTTGTCCGGACTGACCTAAGCGGCCGACATCCTACACAGGTTTGAAATCCCGAATTTTACCTTTAACTAAAACCGGAATAGTCCGAATTCCTTCGATTGGATGTGACAAAAAATGGAGATCAATATGGATTTAAACCCCGCCATTGTGGATAATTTTGATTCTGATGTGAAAATACCCTGCCATCCCAGACCAGCACGTGAAAGCATGTGCACACGAACAAACCGATACCCTTACCTAGTATTCAAGGAGAGACGGGTGCCAGTACAGTTTCACATAGTGTACAAGGTGATGCTACTTGTAATGTGGGTGTGTGGGTGTTAAACGCTCTGGTCAAAGGTTTGGAAGGCATGGGTGATTTTATATAGTCAAGTGTAACATGCACAGTAGATAGTATCATGTCTTTGACGAAAAAAAAATCAAACATTCTTAGTTTCGTTTTCTACTTTTTATTTGGTTTTGCGAGATACATTCCAAGTTTATGTTATTGAAGCAATTCTTGATGACATAAACAAAAATGTAATAAAAATATACCAGTTTTGGAACTGTCAACTCCCAAACATTGACCGCCTTTGCATTCTCTTTGGCTGTTTTATGTGTCTCTTTCTTCGTTGTCTGTGATGTCACGTTCCGTCTAGTTTTTTTTCGAATACTTTTAATTTTCCTCATTCGTTTCCAATGTTTCAAAAGTCTAGGCCCTTAACCTCATTGACGAGTCCTAGAAGGACAAAACGGCTGTATGATGTAGCATCACTGACGAGTCCTAGAAGGACGAAACAGCTGTATGATGTAGCATCACTGAGGAGTCCTAGAAGGACTAAACAGATGTATGATGTAGCATCACTGAGGAGTCCTAGAAAGACGAAACAGATGTATGATGTAGCATCACTGAGGAGTCCTAGAAGGATGAAACAGCTGTATGATGTAGCATCACTGAGGAGTCCTAGAAGGATGAAACAGCTGTATGATGTAGCATCACTGACGAGTCCTAGAAGGATGAAACAGCTGTATGATGTAGCATCACTGACGAGTCCTAGAAGGATGAAACAGCTGTATGATGTAGCATCACTGACGAGTCCTAGAAGGACTAAACAGATGTATGATGTAGCATCACTGCCGAGTCCTAGAAGGACGAAACAGCTGTATGATGTAGCATCACTGCCGAGTCCTAGAAAGACGAAACAGCTGTATGATGTAGCATCACTGCCGAGTCCTAGAAAGACGAAACAGCTGTATGATGTAGCATCACTGAGGAGTCCTAGAAGGACGAAACAACTGTATGATGTAGCATCACTGAGGAGTCCTAGAAGGACTAAACAGATGTATGATGCAGTTTGATTCATTGTTTGGTTCTACTGTATATAACTCTAAATCTAATTTCAAAGGCGATATTCACTCGTGTGTCTTTTGTACAATCTTTGATTGTATTTTACATATTTTGGAGTGTGAATTGAGTCTCTTAAGTTGTCATTGGATTCTCCTTAGCTGTATTTAACGTCTCCTACGTTGTCTCCTTGGTTATTTCGTTATTCCATGTGTCTTATCTGTTGTATTTGGTGTCGTCTCTGTCTATTCATGTGTCTCCTTGGTTATTTCGTTATTCCATGTGTCTTATCGGTTGTATTTGGTGTCGTCTCTGTCTATTTATGTGTCTCCTTGGTTATTTCGTTATTCCATGTGTCTTATCGGTTGTATTTGGTGTCGTCTCTGTCTATTTTTGTGTCTCCTTGGTTATTTCGTTATTCCATGTGTCTTATCTGTTGTATTTGGTGTCGTCTCTGTCTATTTATGTGTCTCCTTGGTTATTTCGTTATTCCATGTGTCTTATCGGTTGTATTTGGTGTCGTCTCTGTCTATTTTTGTGTCTCCTTGGTTATTTCGTTATTCCATGTGTCTTATCTGTTGTATTTGGTGTCGTCTCTGTCTATTCATGTGTCTCCTTGGTTATTTCGTTATTCCACATGTTTTATCGGTTGTATTTGATGTCGTCTCTGTCTATTTATGTGTCTCCTTGGTGTCTCCTGATGTGGTATATATATCAGGTAAGTCATATTCAACTTTTAACCGTTTTGATATATATTAAGTAGTATCTCTTGATGATATTGATATGTTTGATAGTAAAGATCCCCACTTACCCTCCAAGTTATATCATAAGTTATATAATGATCTATAAATAACTATTTCAAAATCATTATCACCAACAAAATTTCAGTGGTTCGACTCCATTAATGTATTTTGGTTACCTAATCACAAATTTGTTATCAAATAATGGATTCCCCATATCCTTGATTGGTGTGTCACGTGACTTAGAAAACACGTGTTGAAAATTTTACAAGCCCTGTCCCCATAATCTATTTAAAGATTTTGTTTGAAAATATTTTAACATTTTTAATTAAGTTTTTAACGAAAACTATTTAATCTACGACAATAGAAAATAAAACTCACTTTATTAAGCGCGTGGTCAATGCGGAAGGAAACGGCATTACCCGGAAATACCATTGCACAACCCGACAACCTGGCCTGATAACAAAATTTTCAGGACGATTTTGTATCCTACTAATTAGATATAAACTGTGTTTATCTACCAGTTTACGTAGATGGTGTTAGTTAGGTGCTGTTTGGTAATTGGAAAGAATGTCATAAAATAAAACTTATAAAAGATAAATGAATAACATCAGGTATTTGGACGCCATTTACTTACATACATCTTAGACATTGTATGATGAGGTAACTTCGTATACATAAAATTGTCACGTGACCAAATGTACACAGTTTTAAATGTATTATCATATATACAACAACTGCAGCACGACAAGTATTCAATGTTAATGTAAAGTAGTTATTCTATAAGTCCATATTACAATTTTATCTCTTTCCACATGGATGACACACATAGAATGTCTCAACTGCCATTCATTCACACATCACGTGACCAAAACGAGAATTACATGACTAATGGGATATTAATAGTGAGGACATGAACTTGGCTGGTAAACCTTCCGTAAAGGTTACCTAGAAATTGTCATCAGCATACAATTAAAAACACATCTGGTTGAAGAATAAATAACAAATTATTTTTTTTAGTTTACCTCTACACGAGGTGTACATAACATTCAAATACATTAAGGAGTTATATATCTAGAAATATGCGTGACCATCAGTTTAGCCGTCGGTTTTATTCGACGTCACGTTCTTTCGCACTTTCATCCCAGTTCTCCACGTTTTGATTACTTTCTTGTAGAGCTGCTCGCTCGGATGCCTTTTCAGCTGTTTTCCTAAAACAGTTGATATCTGTGACGCCAGTTCTGTATGGATACAACGAGAAAGGGCTACTCATAAAACCTGGCAGGGGACCGGAAGTCAAGTGCGAAAAACTAGGATAAGGAAATTGGGAAGAAGGCGGAAGTACATCACCGGAACGCATGCCTGTAGGAAACATTTGTGCTCTGAGTGCATCACATGACATTGTGTTAACATGTGACGTAAAAGCTGAGTGGAGACCCGTATGGGCCATAGGTGCGGGGTTTGAAAACGGGGTGAATGCCGATCGCATGCTGCTACCACTGGGCAGTTTAGCGTTGAGTGACTTTATGGTGTGAAGGGGTAATTGTCCAAAATAAGGATGAGACCGGAAATCCTGTTTCAGACGAGGTGTCGTCTGCTGATTTATTAAAGTGTCTTGCGTTGACAAAAATTGTTCTATTGCTTTCACGAGATCACCGTTACAGCCTTGAAGGACGAGCTCCAACACAGACTTCCGTTGAAAGGGAAATACACGTTCCAAAATCTCAAGGTTATTTAGGTGACCCGGAAGGAACGGGGTCGGAGGAGGTAGGTCACGTGCCCGTGCAAGTGATGTATAAGGAGAGTAAGGTTTAGGTCGTTCGGGTGTTTCCGTAACGTCGTTGATGGATTCGGGTGATGATGCTTCCACTCGGTCATCTTCGCTGCTGTCCTCGGTAATCTTCGGAGTGTTTTCTGTCAACGTAAGAAAACAAATGGAATTGAGATTATGATGATACCAAGAGAATTCACAACCGTGTAGTTTACAATGTTCATAATTTGATGAGTTTGTGATCAAACCTAATTATCATCGGTGTATATCAGTTTTATGAACTTGCAGGGGACAATTTAAAATATATCTAATCTATCACAGTTTATAATGCAGGATTACATAGCTGGAGTTTATTTGGCTTTCATCTCGATTAGATAGAATTTCCTATTTTGTCCTCGGATTTCAAAGTAATATTTATGTAAAATACGAGCCAATGCACAATCAGTTTCTGCTGTAATTTAACCGATGTTTAAAACGAACCTCGTGTGTTATTTGGGATTCAAGCATAAAAAACACAATAATGTTTCAAATTAATTCCTATTTAAGGAACATTATCTCAAACTGGAAACCTTTGAACGTTCGAGTATGTGACCTTTCCGTAAAGTAGCTAATTCCTCCACTACAGTATTGCCGTATATACTCAAACTCATTGTTGATAAGTTTAAATAAACAATAACTACACTCTCTGTTCCAATAAATGTCAACACTGTCACATGAAGGATACACAGAATCGATACGTTAAACTGATACACTGAGCACGTTATACAAACTCTCCCTCCCAGCCCACTCCCCAGAACCAACAGAGATACGGGACTGCCAGACCTCACACGGGGCTCTGATAATGATAACAGACTTTGTTATATAAAAGTTTCATTCCGAATACGGTATACAAAGGAAAGTCAGTTTAGTGTTTATCCAATAAGTGTCTCTGATCTTACAAAATATTTGGATGAGCTCTTGAATATAAATTTTCGGCAAATCAAATAAATTTGAATGATAAACTGAATGTGTTTTACCCTATAGCTTAGTCTTCAGTTTAAAATTTAATATATCAATATGATATTTGAAATTTGATTTTCAAAAAAGCCATTTTGCTGTTATCTAGCATGACGTGTTTCCTCACCAGTGGTCTAGGTTTTTTTCATTTCAATAGAATTATCCAATAATATGAAAATTTCCATCAAGTCGTTAATATAATTTGATTTTAGATATTTAAGATATGTTTTCCATTAAGATCAGCTGCAACAGACTTAAAACCAGAAGAGAAAATGTATATTATATAATGTAATTTGATATTCTTACCGAAACGGCATCGCGAAGTTCGAGTACAATACTCATTCACAAATTCCATAATAACGCATAGCCGAGAGACTGATTGAGAGTATTATACAGAAAATGAAGGCACCAACATGCTCTGAAATTGATGGGCTTTTTTATTTGATGATAAAAAATGTGTATAAGATGTTTTATTAAACATTTGTGCTTTTAACTGATATATATGAATCATTTTCAAGTCAAAGTGATGTTAAAGTAACGAAAATAAAAATGTTCTACTAAAAGGAAAATACTTTTTTAAAAAGACAATACAATTGTCTATTTTCCCTGCATTGATGGACCTTTGAAGTTATTCTCGTCATATGAAATACAATTTATTTCGAAATTAATTTCATTAATGAAAATGTAAGGAAATGGCTGTGTTTAGAAAAAAATATTAACTGTTTACAGCAGTCAATTAGATGTTTACTACCAGTAAATGGCTATGTTTAGAAAGCTTTTAAAACATCAACCATATATCGTGTACAAGTAAATTGTTTACTTCAGCCAGTTTCAGTAAAATCTTCGTGAATTAGATATTCACAGACATTAAATGGTTATTTATTTCTATAAATTTGCTATTTATTCCGAACGTTTGAAACTAAATTTTGAAGAATGGTAAGACTCCACACTCTAAAAGATCACATGTCCGATCGCTGATGGTGGTCGACAGAGCTTGTTAGAAGGAGGAGGTATTCGGGGAGGGGATTGAAGGGGGGCGTGTCCGATTACAACAGTGATGCTCGCCATCATAATCACAAGGGACGGGATAATTTCCAGTTAAATTATCCAAACAAACATGAACACCCGGTTCCACATTTACACCAATGTGAACGTAGTAGGATAATCGATTTCTCACCATCAGCCGTGAGAATACTCCGAATCAGTGTTTATACATTACAAACTACAAGTAACAACTGTAAAAAACTATCACTCAAAAATGGCCACAAGGATTATTCTCAATGTGATTTCAATTAAAAATTAAATTCGATATACTCCTCTCATTTAAGCTTTTCTCGCAACATGTTCATTCCATTTATAATGTTTTCGAAAGTTATCAGAATTTTCTTTTCCTTTTTCAATAAAATATGCGTCCGATTACAACCTGGTATTAAGTAGGTAAAGGTGTCAGACAGATACTATACTGAATATTGTCAGTTCCACGTAAAATTAAAACTTTGCCACAGACGAACACATCATGGGCATAATTAATATTTTTTTCTTATTCCAGATTTATTTCTCTTTACCTTTCAGGTCTTTAGTTACATTTCACATTTGTAATAAATATAAATAATTAAAAAAAGAACTGAACTAAACAGTTTCATCATTCATTCTACATAAACATGTACATTCATTCTATTGATGACGTTGTATATAGAAAATAATATGAATTTTATAAAAAAAAAGTGTGTAATTCTGGTTTAAGTTAAATGAAGAAAGTAAGAGAGCCTTCCTGCACTAAGACAATGTATGTAATAATGGTGCATTTTATCTGTGAATAAAATATGATTGTGTTAAAAAAGAAAAAAAGAAAAAGAAAAAAAGAAAAAATAATTGTTGTATCATGCGTTGTCTACTTAGTATTGTTGTGGAACGTCGGTAACAAGCATCTGTTATGAAATTGATCACCGCTTTGCTTTCGTAAACTAACGACGACGCAGAGAATATGCATACAAAACATCCATTTTAATAATTAATTCTTATGATTAAGATTTTTTAAAATTACTCATGAACTTGATTGATTAATCAAATGAGACTTATTTGTCTTTACAAAAACAATTTATTATTATAAAAATCACGAAACTGTATTGCTAGTTTTGTTTATCGACATGATTCACACCTATACAATATATATACATATGGTTAAATCGATGTGTTACAAATGTGACAAGAAAATTTGAATCGTTGAGTCTCAAACAAAATTTAATTATTGTACACGCGCAAGTGATATATTTGATTCAAGACGAAAAGCAGTATTTTCTCTTTGTGACAGATAAACCAAATGATAAAAATATCTTAAAGGCGAATTCTTCCTTGTTACGGCTTGGCAAGTATAGAACCGTTGTGTTAAATTAAATTCTAGATTATGTTAACAAGCAAGTTTTCGTTTTGTGTAATATTTAATTACTTTTTAATACTATTGGTCTATTTCAAGGAAGATTTTTAAGCTAAAGTTTAACTGAAAATACTAACACTCGTTTAAAGAAAGTTAAATAACGAATGACAGATATCGAGATGCAATTAATCACAAAAACAGGTCAACCCATTAAGAATGAGACTAGAGTCCTCCTTCACTATATGAAATACTAGAAACTGCGCCTAAGAAATTCAAGACAAGTACTCAATAAAATGTAGCTTTATGTTTAAATAGATGATTAAATCGCTTTTGGGTAATATAAGCGTTTCAATTACAACTGCACACGGTTAATTTGACGTGACAAGGGGCAAACGGTTGAAAAATATCTATCCGCTATAGCGTTGATACGCATTAACGTCAGTAATATGTTAATTTATTAAAGAATACAATATGTTAAAATGTAATCTTTTCCGTGTTAGGTTTTGTTCCTAGGAATAACGTTCTAGATTTTATAAAGTTCTTAGCAATAACACACCATGAGAATATATAACGTACGTGTTCATATCATGATCAGTTTGTAATTGTGATTTCAAACTGGGATCTGTGAACGTGACAACAGGAAATATTGATATTTTGTATTTATCAATAGAGTTACATAAAACCTTCGTTTTCTCTTTATTTATCTAAGGCGAAATAGAAGAATATGTTCAATGCTTTTTAGCTAAATTATATCGCTTCAATAAAAATAGATACTACCCATTTACAGTTTATCTGACGGATATAATACGCTGAGTTATAGAAATATTTAATAGTTTTAAAGTTTCGGTAGTCTAGAATCATGAATGAACTAAGCAAATTAAAATTTTAAAAAGGAATTTAAAAAAAAAACAGTAAAATATTTCGAATTGAAGTTCTGCATTTTGACTGACGTCGTATGACGTCACAATATACTTACCGATTGAATCTTCATCATCACCCCTTCCTTCCGTTTCACCTTGGGGTGGGGACACTGTGCCAGGGCCCCACAAAGGACCCGACGTCATCACGGGATTTATGTGGTCTTGAGCACATGCCCGCAGCCCTAACGCAATGGCGTCTTCAGCCGCCTGTTGTCGTTTTAGTGCGACCTGTGCCGCCATTATACGTTGACGTTCGGCAATCAAGTTACATTTTTGACATGCGCAGTCCTTGAATTTACAATGACGTTTGTGGCCTTTTAACCAGGAAACCATTCCATGGTTTCGACATCTGGCGCATTTGGGTTTCCTGGAGCCTTTCTCCGTCAGCGGATACAAAGTGACTGGGTTCATTGTTAAATTGTCTTTTATATTTCACCACTTTAAAATGTAGCAGTCTTCGTAAACTTAATAGCAATCCAGATTAAATGATACGTCCAAGTTTAAATTGTTACATCAATCCAAATGTAACAACGTTTTGTCTGTAAAAATGTCTCATTCAGTTTTTGTCCGAGTTTCGTCTATACCCGTTTCAACTTCCTAATAGTTATTGCGACCTCTTCTTGTCTGATTGTCTCCGCTCAAGTGATTTATTCGTCCATGTCATACCCCTATTTGTAAATTGACGGAACATCTTGAAAGCCCCGCCCTCATTCGGCCAGAACAGTAGAACTTACCAGTGGCGCAACTTCCGATAGGTATTGGCTAAACGGTGTTAGATAAATATTGGCTTAGAATCGGCTTTCTCATTGGTCGCTTTGTTTACTTTCGGTTTATCGACAAACCCTACAAACGAGGTCGTTACCATAAGGCGAAGTTGATGGACAGACCGTCAAAGAAGTGGAAAGTATTAATCTTTTTAAGTTACATTAACGTTCACCTTTTTAAATTTACCATCGAGAATATTCACATTTCATCTGGTACTCAGTACTTAAATTGATGACAACTTAGCCATTTTGATAGAAAGGCCATAATACGTATTCAATAAAAATGTAACAAGGTTTATTGACAATTAGGTTTGACAACCTTTTATAGTTTTAATTCATTTCATTTTTATTAAATGATAATTATACGTTACTCGCTAGCCTAAAGAGTACATGTCAATGGGGGAGAGGAAGGTATTCAGGAGGGGGCGTGACAGTTCTGACTGGGCAAATTAGAAAAGGTATTGAAACGTTGAACTTGTTACTTTTGTCGTTGTGTAACTGAATTTACGACTGTAGAATTGTATTATTCTCGTCAATAAAGCGATGAATTGCACATTTTAAATACATTCTTTTTATGGGGTATTACCTATAATTTCCCTTAAACTTTTTTTAAATCCTTGTTTTGTATCGAATATTTATCTTATTTGCTTAAGTGCGTGTGAAAAGACCATATCGTGTTTACTGGACATAAAATATAAATTTATCCCACGAAAAATAACAAAAAATTTAAAATAGCACGAATGCATATCATCATTTTTAAAAGCACATTTTTCAGATAAATAAAAATTAATATGTTTAACCAAACAAATGTAATTACAAAGCATCGTTCACGCGACAGTAGAAAATTGATAGTTTAAATAAAACCTTTCTATTTAACTTGTATTTCATACAGTGCTTTAGTAGTCGAAGTAAGATACACGAACGCACATTGTCCTTGTATTGTGTAAGAGAGAAACCAGAAAATTTGCAATAAATGGAATCCGCATCATAATGTTCTATTCTCTAGTTCCTGTTAAAAACTGACTTTTTTATTTCATTCATTTATGTGCAAAACGTACAGTATACCAAACAGTCTCTGTCTCTCACATACTCTATCTCTCTGTCTCTGTTTCTCTCTCTCTCTCTCTCTCTCTCTCTCTCTCTCTCTCTCTCTCTCTCTCTCTCTCTCTCTCTCTCTCTCTCTCTCTCTCTCTCTCTCTCTCTCTCTCTCTCTCTCTCTCTCTCTCTCTCTCTCTCTCTCTCTCTCTCTCTCTCTCTCTCTCTCTCTCTCTCTCTCTCTCTCTCTCTCTCTCTCTCTCTCTCTCTCTCTCTCTCTCTCTCTCTCTCTCTCTCTCTCTCTCTCTCTCTCCGTGTAATTTTATTTAAACATGTGTCGTTTTGTCTTGTCATTATGTATTTGTCACACTTTATAGGGAAAGAGCTTGATATAAGTTGGAAAATGTGTGCCCAATTCCTTTGAAATTGTTCAATAAAATATGTTTAAATCAAAATGCATTGGACTTGGAATAAACTTTTCATCCTGTATGTATACAACAGGAATCTGTTTCCAGCATAGACACATGAATTGTGTAAGACATGATTTGATTGTATCTATATTTGTAATATAAAAATCAGTCGAAAAGAAAGATGGAAAGACGGAGAGAGTGGATTTTATATTTTTAAAAAATCAGTTTTGATAGATAGATGGGAAAACGAAGAGAGAGGGTTTTTTTTAAATTAGTTAGATAGAAGAAAGAAAAATGGAGAGAGAGGATTAAATATATAAATCAGTCGGATAGAACGATGGAAAGACGGAAAAAGAGGATTATGTATAAAAAAATGAGTTGGATGGAAAGGTGGAAAAACGGAGAGTGAGAGAATGATATAAAAAAAATCAGTCGGATAGAAAGATAGATAGACGGAGAGAGGATTATATATACAAATCGGTTGAATAGAAAGATAGGAAGATGGAGAGTGAGGAATATGATATATATTTATATATATATATATGTAAATAGTTCGACAGAAAGACGGAGAGATGTAATTTCCTGGAATGCCACAGATACGATGAGATATTGATAGTAGTATTGTTGTCAACATTGACGTTTGACATAACGATCTTACTAATTCTCACCAAACATTGACGTTTGACAATACGATCTTACCAATTCTCACCAAACATTGACGTTTGACAATACGATCTTACCAATTCTCACCAAACATTGACGTTTGACAATACGATCTTACCAATTCTCACGAAATATTTACGTTTGACAATACGATCTTACCAATTCTCACGAAACATTGACGTTTGACAATACGATCTTACCAATTCTCACGAAATATTGACGTTTGACAATACGATCTTACCAATTCTCACGAAAATTGACGTTTGACAATACGATCTTTCCAATTCTCACGAAATATTTACGTTTGACAATACGATCTTACCAATTCTCACCAAACATTGACGTTTGACAATACGATCTTTCCAATTCTCACGAAATATTGAGGTTTGACAATACGATCTTTCCAATTCTCACGAAATATTGACGTTTGACAATACGATCTTTCCAATTCTCACGAAATATTTACGTTTGACAATACGATCTTTCCGATTCTCACGAAATATTGACGTTTGACAATACGATCTTACCAATTCTCACGAAATATTTACGTTTGACAATACGATCTTACCAATTCTCACGAAACATCGAACTAGCAATATATTATTCTTAGAATTTGTAATTAAAGGCGCGGTTTCTACCTATCTAATTACACTTTAGTTGTGAATTATGACAAAAACCGGATAGATCAAATCCAATTCTACAACAGGTCAATCTAAATATAGCAGACACGTCAATCAATCATTTCCTTATCGATTATTATAAGACGACTCCTCAGTTCATCCATTCACGTCGATGATGATCATATGTAAGGTAGTATAGAACGTTGTTTCAATCACAGATATTTGTAAAATTTGTAAAAGTTTTGTTATTGATATTAAATCAAAATATAAATAGACAATATGATACAATATAACCTAGGATAAGTATCTTTGTTAACACATATCGAATGTTTAAAAGATTTAAAATAAATGTTAGTTACAAAAATCCCCGACTCGTAGGGAGGTATCGTTCTGTAGAATTGGATTTCGGATGTATTTGATGTAGTGAAGTAAAACAAAAGAAACCCGAAATACAAAATACCTTTATCTAATTCATGTGGCATTGGAAATGGAATATTACCAAAGCTCCAACTTCGGAAAGTTGGATGAAAATCCAGTTTAATGAAAAAGGGGTTGAACTCTTTTCATCATATGTATATGTGTTAATGATTTAATAAAACTATTTGATGCATTTTTCCACAAGTAATTAAAACATCAAGGAACATTTCTTTTTTATCTTGAAATCATGACGTCACTTTTATACGTCACACATAACGTAAAGTATTTATTAAATACGTGTATTAAAGATGTATTAAACTATATGTGAAGACACATATGTAAATGTAAATGAACAAACATTATTAATAGCTAACAACTTCAGTATGAATTTGTCTAATTGAAAATATATATACGATAAAATGAATGTAACTGATTTGTATAATAGCCGGGGTACCACTGTTATAGATATAAGTAAAATATGTATATAGTGTGGTTAGTCTGGATCCTGCCAGTGTTGTAAATTATATACACGAGGTTCCAAGGGGAGGGGGAGAAGGGCAGGATGGTATTCGTGGTATTATTTCAGTAGCTTTGCATGTATACATGGTCAATCTGGAACCAATTTCTAACTTCAGCAAAATTTGACGTCACTATACCTCCCACAGTACTAGTGACGGTGCACGGATTGTCGTTCAAGCTGATGTTAAAAAGTTTTCAGAATCCCGAAATAAAGTTGAATGAACTCAGCTTAAACTTACTTAATTGATTTTAAAAAAAATATCTACTTTAAATTTTTTCAATTTTAGTTTCAATTTGTTTTGTTTTTTTTTACTGAAGAACTTAGTTCTTATCAAATATGAAATTAAGGTCGAAGTAGGAAATCAATGTTTCACGAATATTTTAATGTAAAACTACAAGTCAAATTTTCTTTCTAACATGAAATTTAGCGATTGTTATTCAAATGCACCTCTCAGGTTGTAATTTTATGTGCCTTTTGAATTAATGTACTTTCGGAAAATCACTGACGTTACTGATTTTTTAATTACATAGAGATTTTCCATGCGCATAAACAACCCTGATAAACATTTACATGTATATAATTAACTGGAAATTGCCAGGTACAGGTATATAAATTAGATATCATTTGTTATAGGCAGCTATTTACATACAATAATCATATCTTTTACAAATAAAATATTTTGTTGTGTATTGAAGTAAAGCGTACATGTACTCTCTGCCGCCGATGTACAGCCTTTTCCATTGAAGTAACTTAATAGTTTCCATCCTTAAAATGGATAATATCAAATTATCCAATTGCGTCATATTTTCTCATCAAACATTTTTTTTCAAGATATTTATCAAATCAAATACAAGTATTGCCATACAATAAGTTCAACTCATTTGATTCAAATATAATTTAGTAACGTAGTTTATGATATATTATTAAAACAGGTTAGAAAATTCAAGGTGGGCTAACCTTTTTATTAAACTTTAGATTGAAT